GAAAGGGCCATCTGTTCCTGGGCTGCGGGGAGATGTGGAAAGGTGACATGGTGGTCTCTAGCGTGCTGCCTTCCTCAGGGACTTTCAAGGGCAGTTTTGAATATATGGACCTTCCAACCTAACCCTGGCATTAGAAGCAACTCCACTTACTGCTTTCTGCAAAGGTTACTTGGCACTGTCACTGTGAGTGACACTGGAGCTTCTCACCCGTCATTGCACTCCTGCATGTACCTCCACTCATCTCTGGATTTAAGAGGTGAAAAGTAATACTTCATGGCTCACTGTTTAATTTGCCTGTGTTTTACTTTTTGTGTTTCCCCAAGAAGCACTTGGCAATGGCCTGCATACGGGAGATGCAGTGAGTGGAAGTGTGCATGAAGAACGGGCCACCTTGGAGGACCTTGGGGGACTGGAATGCCAGTGAGAGGGCAGGGCTGGGTTTGCAGGTATTGGAATCGACAGAGGATGACCCTGGGACCAAGAAAAAGAAAGAGATGCAGTAGAAAGGTGATGTCATTCTATAGTTGGTGAGGGCCAGGGCGTTTAAGAAGAAAGCAGTCGAGGGGCTGGCCCCGTGGCCGAGTGGTTAAGTTCGCGCGCTCCGCTGCAGGCGGCCCAGTGTTTCGTTGGTTCGAATCCTGGGCGCGGACATGGCACTGCTCATCAGACCACGCTGAGGCAGCGTCCCACATGCCACAACTAGAAGAACCCACAACGAAGAATACACAACTATGTACCGGGGGGCTTTGGGGAGAAAAAGGAAAAAATAAAATCTTTAAAAAAAAAAAAAAAAAAAAAAAAAAAAAGAAGAAAGCAGTCGAGTGCATGGGATGTGGCCAAGACAACCAGTGAAGGGGACAGAAAGAGCAGATTTTAGAAAGCTTGTTGTTCCTTCCAGAAAAGGAGGCTGCCCTGGAAAGAGGGTGTGTGAAACAGTTAGGAAAGGGAGGGGGGCAGAGGGAGATGAAGGAGAGGCCCCGCCCATCCCACCGCCACTCCCAAGGTGGGAAAGAAAGATGTGTTCAGCACTGTTGGGCTAAAAGAGTAACCCATGTGTGATACGGTCCCTGGGCTCTCCCTGATGTCTAACTGGAGTATTCACTTTGGAGGGGTGAAGAAGAGCCCTCAAAAACATGACCTTAGCCGCCTCCCAGCTAGGCCTGGGGGTTGGGGCTCTGCTGTGCGGGGATTCCTTGGAATGCCCATCTTGGCCTCACCACTTACCCTGCACATGGTCAATTCTAAGATTCTCAGATAGGCCTGAGCATCATGGGTGAAGGTGGGATGCTGTGGAAAGCAAGAAATCACAGGGCTTGCCCTAGGCCTTCCCCGTCTGCTAGGAACATGTGGTCCCATGTGGAGGGTGATGGGGCTCATGGGCAAAGCCACCTTGATGTCTAACACCGGGGCTCATGTCTGGGAGAAGCACTTGGTTCTTGAGGGAAGACCTAGTTGGTGCAGGTTTGGAGGTGGGGGCAGCAGAGGGAGGAAGAGCAGTTTTCCTTGAGCCCAAAGAGGACAGAGGGGTGTGGTGTATTCCGTGGCTGTTGTTAGTCTGTCTCCCTGGAGCCCTAGAATAGACTCATACCTGGCTTAACCACAGTTCTTCCCCTGGGGATACTGGCCTGCTTGGTCATGGGTTTATTTTTCTGGACTAATTATTAGTCTTTCTTTTGTTCAAACCTTATGAGCTAAAAAAAAAAAAAAAAACACACCCACTCAATTAGAATAAAACTTTAATTAAATTGAAATACCAATTAAAACATGTCATCAATTAAAATAGAGCACTAATTAAAGTGTTTGCAACAAGCAGCAGCCACTACGGCCCAGTGGCCTGGAAGCACCAGCCTTGGTCACAGAGTGGCTGGAGGGCTAGCTGGACATGCTGCTGTGGCTGTTGGGGTTTGGAGATAAAGAAACTGAAGGCTGGCTTTGGGCCCTGGGAACAGGGCACCCCTCCTGCTGAGTCCTCACCCCTGTGGCACAGTTGGTGACCTTCTTGCTCTTCCTCCTGGAGACAAAGGGACCCACCGCAGGTACTAGCCGCAGATGGAGCCTGCAGGGGCTGTCCTCCTGGGGCCCAGAGTAGGGAGGGCTGCAGGTCACTCAGGGGGCTTCCAGTGCACCACACCTGACAGTCACCTTGACTCAAAGCCATGTGAACATTAGTGAGTGCTGTTTTCCTTGGCCTTGGGATGGAACTTGAGGCTATCTTTGGTGGTATAGCTCCAAGAACCACTCTGTTTCCGTGGTTTTGCTCCAGGGATCCCTGGACAGCAGCTGGAGTGGGTCCTAGTGGGTCCTGACCTGGCATTCAAGGCTGCATGCGACCTGGACCCTCCTACCCGTCTTCCCTCATCTCCCGCCATGCCTGCGTGTACAAAGGCCCTCTGTTCAGCCACTCCTGTCTCCCAGCTAACTGGTAGATTGCTGGAAGTAATAAAGATGTTTCTCTAAAGCTGTCCCTGGTTACCCCCTCCCCAAGGCCCAGTTAGACACATCTCCTCGCTGCTCCTTTGTCTGTCTGTTGGCCTCGATCCGCCTGTTTCACATCCTATTGCAAATACATGTGCACACGGGCCCTTCGATTTCTCTGTAGAAGTCAGGGTATAAGTTAAAGAATAGTGTTAAGTTACACCTTTCTTGTCTGGTAGACTATGTGTTTTTTAAAGGTAATGATTGACCTTTACTTATCTTTTTATCTTCCACTAATTTTTATAATTACTCATCCACTCCTAAACTTTAAGAATTTTATCTTTTACACTTTTAAGGAAGAGCTCTAGTTTGCCAGGAACAAAGTAACAGTGTGTGAAGGAGCCCTTGGATCCCTGTCCAGCCCTCCCCACCTGCAGAGGCTGGGCCACCAGGCCATAACCTGCCCGTACCTGCCTGACGTGAGCCACTTCAAGAGCAGGCGAGTTCTTAGGAGAAAATCAATAACCGCACGTGTGCTTGTCTTTTAAACCCAGTGCTCTTAAGTGGCAGCAAGCTCCACCAGGAACAAAAGAAGGAAGAAATTAGGTAAAAGGAGAATCAATATTGGTATTGGGTTTTTAAAGACTTAACAGTCTTTTACTATGCTTGGTTTCGGGGAATAGTTGCTATTATTCGAGGGCTCCTGGCGCAAGCCTTGGGAAAGAAACTCAACATTTTGAGTTTGCTCTTTCACCTCAGAGGCTGGAAATAGGAGAACAGATGTGGCTTCCCCTGTAGAACCTTGTTCCTTCTTTCTAACGTAAATCTTCTTACCCAGCTTCATATTCAAAGCAGAGACCAGAAAAGGCAGGCCTGCCATGTGGACGCCCTGTGTGTGCAGCGTCCTCTGCCCCAGGCTGCGTCCCCGCTCCTGCCCCCAGGGAGTGAAAGCAGATATTAACAGTAGGCGGCCTGGTTGCATTATTCCATTTCGTAGCCACATGTTGGTTTTCATTTGGGAGACGTGTGGTGGGGAAGTGGAGCTCAGCAAGGGACGGCCTCTCTGCTGATGTCAGGATGAAGGCTGTCTCGTTGGAAAAATGCTTTCGGGAAAGTCATGCATCCTGTCCTTTGCCCTCTCAACGACAGTGGAGATGATGGCTCAGCCACAGCACCGCTCCCAGCACTGGGCCTTTTTCTGTTTATTCGCCTCCGCCTGCGCCTCCTCTGAGCCCTGCTGCGGCTCGTTGCTCTTGTAGGAGGTTCCGTTCACCTCCGGTCTTGTAACCCCCTGTGCTGTGGGTTCTGAAAGGTGCTTGGTGATCCCAGTGTCAGGACAGGGCTCCCAGTGAGCTGGGCCCTGGTTCCCAGCTGTCAGGAAGGATTCTTTACTTCAGAAATGGGGCTGGCTGTTTTCTTCCCTGAACTGCTGCTGGCTCACCTTTCCTCCGTTTGTTTGGATACCTGTGCACAGGGGCGCCCATCCCGAATGTCCCTGCCCACCTCCTTCCTTCCTTGGCCTTTTCTCAGCCTTGTCTCAGGTCCCTGTCCCTCTGGTTTGCCCTCTCTCCCTCCTCCTCCTCCACTCTTCCTTCTTTCTCTAGCAGTTCTGTTTCTCTACCGAGCCACAGGCTCAGCGTAAAAAAGAAATCAGTGGACTCAAAGGAGAGAAATAATTATTCTATCTCTTTGAAACCTTTCCTACTCTCTCTGCTTGCTTTTTATAAGAACCAAAGCAGCAGGTGGGGGCCAGTCTCCCCACGGCCGAGAAAAAGAGCGAGCAGTAGAAGGCACACGGAGGTAAGAGGTCAGGAGGAAGCCAGGTGTGTTCATTTCTTCAGTGGAGCAGATGTTTTCAGAATAGTCGCTCCCTGCCAGCCGGGCTGGCCACAGGGGACGTGAAGACGAATAAACACAGGCCTGTCCTCGTGCGGCTCATAGCCATGGCCCAGCGCGTGCTTCAGACCTGAGGTCCCTGCCCGGGCCTCCGAGAAGTCAGAGAACTGAGATGTTAGTATGTCATTTTCCTCTGATTCTTAAAAAGGTTCAAGATCTAAGACTGGCTTTCAAATGTTTTGACTATGATATATTGTAAAAAATACATATCTTGACCTTGTCTCACATGTCTGTGTGTGTGTGTATGAGTTTTCTGGGTAGCCATGTATCTATATCTCTGAAACAAAAGTTCCCCAACAATACTTCCCTTTTCCACGTGCAAATCAATGTGATATTTTCTATGTTATTCTTCTTGATTCTATGGTAAGCTATTCTATTCTATTTCATTAAAAAATACTGATTGCAACCCATGAAATTGATTTTTTGACCCAGTAATGAGTCACAACTTGCCCTTTGGAAAACACTGATCTAAAGGAAGATGTTAAGAATCCCAGATCTGGGAACTCGCATACACCACTCGTGGGAGTGTAAATTAGCACATTCTTAATGAGGGCCTTTGGCAATATCTATCAAATTTACAAATACATACACTCATTGACCCTGATGTTCCATTTCTAGGAATTTATCCTACAGACAGACTTGTGCCAAATGATGTTCAAGATAATTCTTTGCTCTATTGTTTTTAATAGCAAACGATTGGAAACAACCCAAATGTCCATCATTATGAGACGGGTTGACTAACTAATGGAACAGCCACACAATGGAAGAACACTCTACAGCTGCTAAGAAAAAGAAGAGAAGCTCTCAATGACCTGAGTTGGAAAGACTGCCAAGATATAACTCAAACAGGCAAGATGCAAAACAGTGTTTAGTATGTTGCCTTTTGAATAAAAAAGGGAGAATTAGGCTCTGTATTCCTAAGTGCTTGTCTTGGGTTGAACCATATGAAATTACCGTTTTAAAAGGTCATAATGGTTGAATATTGGTAATTTCACATGGTTCAACATAATGTGTGCATATAGGAAGGATAAGGTAAGAAATGAAGTTCCCTGAAGAAGGATGGGCAGAGACTTCTCACTGGGACTGTTAAAAATAAGGAATCTCTGAGGTGATTACTGGGAAAGGAATGGGGGTCACTCTGAGCTAAGGCAGAACCAAAGGCCACGCCCACATGAAGGGTGAGCAGAAGCTGCCTGCCCCTGTCCTCACACCCGAGCCCCAGGCTAGACCAGCCCCAGATAGTGGACAGGAGGCTGGTAGAGTGGACCGGCAGCTGACTCCCTCTTTCTAGGTGTCGTATGCGGATCGTATGGTGAGAATGAGTTAGAAATTTAACCTTTTCAGAATTTTATGCTTTGAATGCAATTCCATGTGGCAAAGAAAGCATCACTCAAGGTGTGTTGATCACTGTAGGCTGGACCAAGTGGGGTTTTTTACTTCTCAGAGCTGAGCTGGAGAGGGCCCAGGACTCAGGAGAGCTGCCCACAAGCAGGGACCACTTCTCTAATGCCTGCTGCTCAGCCTAATGGTCAAGCTGCGTGAGGTTCCTAGGATCCTGGGTCATCTGGGCAGTGTCTTGAGGGGGTGGCCACTGCTGGGTGGGAGTGAGGGTGGAGTTGAGGATGGAAGTGAGGCCTGATCTGTTCACCCCAAAGCACACATTTAATTTTTTTCAGGACTCCAGTGCCGACGAGGCTGCCTGGGCAGCTGGCAGGGTATTCAGCTAGGTCAGCACAGGGCAGCTTTTATGAGGGTGCTTCACTAGCACGGGGGCTTGATCTTAACCCTGCAGACTCGGAAGCTTGTTTTCCTCGGCACGTGGAGGACAGATCCATCTCTCCACGGCGGAGTCACACAGGCTCCCAGAGACTCCTGTGGACCTGCCCTGTGTGTCCCTTACTCTAGGAGTAGGACTGCCAAGGGGAGCAGATACGCGGGCCCTCTGGCCAGTACATCCCGTCCCTCAGGCAACTCCAGAGGAGCAGAAAACCAGTGTCCGAAGGCCTTTTGCAGGCAGGAATCTGAGCTATACAGGCCAGCCTGTGGCTGTGGAACACCAGCCCCGATGTATCACTGGAGACCTGGGGGCTGATCCCTTCCACCGAGAATGTGAAAGGTGTGTGTGTGTGTGTGTGTATGTATTGGCGCCCGGGGCAGGGGTGGGGGCCGGGCAGTGCTGGGAGGACCATGGCTTAATTGCCTCTAGGAAGTTTCTTTTTATTCTCTAGGCGTGGCCAGTCCCCTTCGTGGGGCACCTTCCTTCTTTAGCCTTATGAATAACTTTAATTCACTTAGTTGATTCTAGGTGGGCAGAGATCTTTAGTTTCCCTCAGAAAACACCCTGTATTGACATCTTTCCAAGTTATTTACAGTAGTCCCCCCTTCTCCGCGATTTCACTTTCTGTGGTTTCAGTTACCTGCAGTCAACCGTGGTCCGAAAATCACACTCCATCACAGTGCCTGCATCGTTCCCGCCATCTCTCATCACACAGGGTTTGTATCATCTCACATCCTCATGAGAAGAAGAAGGATGAGTGCAGCACAGTAAGATATTCTGAGAGAGAAAGAGAGGGGGAGCCCACATTCACACAACTTTTATTACAGGAAAAGTTATAATTATGTATAGGAAAAAATAGTATATATAGGGTTTGGTACTAATCCGGAGTTTCAGGCATCCACTGGGGGTCTTGGAACTTATCCCCCACCGGCAAGAGGGGACTACAGTATTTATTTGTTTACTCAGGGAAGGGTCTTACTCTCGCTCTCATGTGCTGCCTGTGTTTTACCCAACACCCCACTGCTCACGTAACAGAAACAGCCCTGGACAGTGGTCAGTGAAGAGAATGGCGTGACCCCAGTGGGGCTCTGTGAAGTTACTCAGGAAGTGCTGGGCAGATGAGTGGAGTGAGCTGGAGCTGGGCAGGCCATGGGGACAGCCGCTGCCGCAGCTCCAGTGAGCAGTCCAGGGGCCTGGGTGGGGAGGAGCAGACAGGTGAGAGGGAGTGAGAGGTGCCAGTGGCCTTGGGAAGGAGGAAGCAACTGGCTTTGGAGGAATCTGACTCAATATCAGAGATAAGAAGACAAGACATGACTCTGGCTTCCCTGGTGGTGGGAAGTGTGATGGGGAGGAGCCTTGGGGAGAAGAGGCTTATTCAGTTATTCAGGATTGGACATTCAAAATTGACTTACTGAGCCTACTCTCCATCTCCCTTTGGCTAGATTCTCTTCCCCTGGTAGTTATCTCAAGCTTGGGACTGAGTTCAAGCTTTTGGCCAAAACTTCATAGAAGCAAAGATGATGACTCATTGACGTGACGGAATGAATGAAATCATTTAAGAGGGAGTACAGAAGAAGTAGGTGACCAGGGACCACATCTTGGGGACTGCTCAATCGAGGAGTGCAGTTCCATGTCACTTCTCATTGGGACCTGTGCTGAGTGACGAGATGGGGTTGACTGGGAGTAGGCTGGTCTCCCAGGGCTTCTGAGGGAAATGCTGTGAGCATCGCATGTTGGAGTCCCCTTCCCATGGGCTCTGGCACCAACAGTCCCTTCAGCCTGTCGTGGAGGAGGAGCTGGGTGAATGGGGAAGAGTTGGAACCAGCAGAGGGTGTACCCCGAGGGCAGTACGTAAAGACCTGGTCTCTAAACAGAAAGTTCGGGAAGACTGAGGGAGGGATCCGCTGCAGCCAGAGGAGAAGACTAGGGTTAGACGAGTCATTGATTGATGAGTTAAGGTTTAATGAAAAGATACGAAATTGTACTTAAGTGCTTATCTTTCTTTGCCTCTTGTTCTTAAATTATGTATCAGATTTTTAAATGTGGACATGATTAATGCTACTTAGGATCTCCGGCTTGGCTGTTTTAACAAAGAGTTATATTTTAACTGAAAAAGCATAACTGAGAGGAGACTCTTAACGTTTTTCTTCAATTAATCACCCCTGAGCAGCTCAGCTGTTTGGACCCTAAGGCCATATGCAAAGGCATCACTGCCCACTGGGTGGTAATTTACCCTCATTCCGGGCGGAGTACTAGGAGAAAATAAACTGCCTCCTGAGGGCTGCAGCTGCAACGTGGGAAGAAGGTTACAAGGAATCCGGAGGTTCTTATGTTTTACTAGAATGGAAATGGATGTCGAGAGGAGGATTGGGGGGAGGTACAGTGCTGATGCAGGGGCGGGGGGAGTCTTAACCTCCAGATACATCTGGGAGAGTCCTTGGAGAAGCTGGTCTTTGGAGGGAGAAGGTATCTGGAGGGCTTGGGAAGTGAAATGCGGAGGATGGGCCTGGCTTGCACAGTTCCGTTCAGTAGATAGTTATTGATACCTACTGTGTGTCAGGTTCCAGAGATACAAATAGGAGTAAAACACATTCTTGTCTCAAGTTGTTGACTAAATAGTGGAGAAATTGTCTGGTAAACAGTTGTATGTGATATACCTATGGTCTATTCGATAATAGACATTTGTACAAGGCACAAAGTGGGGCCTCTTGATGGGAAAATAGTGAATCCTTAAAGTAAGCCTACTGTCATACTGTCCCCACAGCCATCATGTACCACTGAGCAGCAACTTGGTGCATTTGAGGCCATGGGCCTCCAGGCTTTGATGAGCTCTCACCAGAAGGATGAGTAGGTGGATTCAAATCCTGCCTCTGCTGCTTACAAGTTGCATAGCCTTGAGCAAGTCACTTAACATCTCTGTGCCTCAGTTTCCTTGCAGTGGGACTTACCTCATAGAGTTGTTGAAAGGATTAAATGTGTTACACAGTGTTAGCTTTGATGGTAGAGAAGAAGGAGGAGGAGAAGTCATCTAGAAAGCTGGACCGGAAGGGAGTTCTTGGAGGAGAATAAGTTAGACATGTGATAGCCCAACCCAGCTTGGCCTGAGTGAGCAGGGAATTTACTGACTTTCCCAGTGGACTGGGAAGGTCAAACAGTTCTGTGGATCTGGTGTCTCTCTCCCTTGTTGGCCGCTCCCTCTAGGTTGACACCATTCTCAAAGACTGTATGACCTTGCCAAGAAGGGTGCAGGCAGCTCTTATGACTACAGCCTCCTAGGAGGAATTCAGTGGGAGATAATACAAGAGCCTTTTCTCTCGCACTCCTCGGAAGAGCCCTTGGATGGACCCTGGGAGGGTTAAGCCTGTGCCTGACCCTGAGCCACTCTCTGAGGTCGGCTGAGTGCCTGGAGGCCATTGCACTCTCCATCTAAAACACATTCTCTACGATGTCCATCTCTGGCTTCTTTTAATGGAGCAAGAACTCCAAGACTCTAAAAGCAATTTGAGTGCAAAATCTGCTACATTTTTAGAGATATTTTGTTTCTGATCTCTCAGCTTTGTCTCACCCTGTCCAAAAAGTGAGCACGATTTTAGCAACTTGCATTTGTTGTGTCTTTCCAAAGCCTCCAATTTACTGTCCTAGAAGCTGCAGCTCTTTCTCTTCACATTTATACTTCATTGGTTTATTAATATTTAATTAAATTAAGTATTTATAATAACAAATACAACTGGCAAACAGGTGTGGGGACAAACACAGCAGACTCCTGGTAAGCATTCTATTTGGCTTGTGGGGCACAAGTGCAAGAGTCTCCTTGAGCTGTCACAGGGTCGTGGGCATTGGGTCCGTGCGTTTGACAGAGCAAATAGAAAAAGTCGGTGGAGCAGGCAAATCCAATAAGGTCGTTAAAGAGAGTTTCCACTTCCCAGGTTTGCTCTCGGATGACCGGCATGGATGGTTAGTTGCAGTGGATTTTGAGAGAGTGAGCTGGACCCATATGGGATGGGCAAGAGAGAAGGGGAGCTTTGGCATCCCTGAGGAGAGCCAATAGTCCAGAGATAGCTATGATGACTTAAGTCCACATCCAGACCTGATGGCCAGAGCTGTGGGCATCCGATCTGAGCAAGGAAGATCCCTGGCGTAGAGTTCATGGGTGCGGGATGGGGAATGTTAGGAAAGCATAGCCCCAGCCTGCCCACTCTAAGTCTATCCATAAGGGCATGGAAAAGGGAAGAGGATGCCGTCCCCTGGCCCCAGGTCGTAGAGCAAAGCGTGAGCTGGCCTTAGTTCACAAATGGGAGTGTTCCCCTCAGGTCATCTGAGGACTATATTCAGAAGGGGCTGCCCACCCAGGAAGGCCAGGAGGGCACTCATCCCTTTGCCCAGCGACCCAGGCAAGCACAACAAATTTTGAATCCCACCAGACTCAGAATCTCATGCAGAGGTTGGCATCATCTAATGCCGCCCCAGGCTGCCTGACATCAGCTGCATGTGCAGGTCAGCCCCGCCTCAGAAGACCCCAACCACAAGCAGAACAGGCCTCAGGAGCCTCATCAGTAAAATGCGGACAGAGATACCTACCTCATGGACTGTTGGGAGGATGAAATGAGATGACGGTCACCAAGTTCCCAGTACAGAGTAAGGACTCAGGAAGTATCAGCTCCCTCTTAGCCATGTCTCCCTGGTTTTTGGCTGTGGAAACAGGGGCTCACAGAAGTCAAGCCGCTTGCCTTGTTTATGTCGCCCAAGATTGGCAGAGCATGGTCCTGAAGCTCCCTCTTTTCCTCCTAGCTCGAGCTTGGTCCATACACAGGCAGGCTGCTGCCCCTCTGCTAGCTTGGACCCCCGCCTACCCCTGGATGGGTAGCCCATGGTCCTTTACCGTGAGTTACTGTGTGGTGAGAAAGGCCTCAGTTTAATAATGCAGCAGAGATTAGGGAAGCCTAGGCCAGAAGGAGGACATAGAAATACCTAGTTACTAAAACAATATCGGATAACGACCTTTTAAACGAGCTGCAGCTCAGGGAACTAGTTGAGCCGGGTAATGACTACAGCTCCGGGCCTAACGAGGAAGCCATCACTTATTTATAACACTGTCGCTTTCTTGCTGTTATTGTACACCTACCCCAGGGTCTAGGCAGGTGGGTACCTCTCATGATCTGAGCAACATATGAGTCAGTTTGGCCAAGTCTCTGAGCTGGAGGATTGGCTGGGACAAGGGAGTGAGGAATTCAGCTGGTGAGGTCCCCAGTCCCTGGCACTGGGGCAGGGAACAGGGTGCTAAACTCTGGGGTGCTCAGAGTCCTTTGTTCAAAGTGAATTCAGTGGCCAGGGACAAATCAAGTGGATGCAGGGTTGTTGGCTGTCACCTCACTGTATTCATTATTTATTATTTATGATCATTATTATTATTGCCTTTATTTAATGAGTGCACTGCACTTCACACTTCAGGGCTCCCTAGGTGATCGCAGCCAATCTCAGGACTTTAAATATCTAGACAGTGACAGCCCCCAAACTTGTTTCCAGCCCGATCTCTCTCTTTACTGCAAACACATCGTTCCCCTTTGTCCCTGGATCTCCCCACTGGGATGTCCAACAGGCTCCTCACCCATAGCATGTCCCAAAGGGGACTGCTCCCCCACCAGTCTTTACATCACGTGAATGGTGTTATGATCTACCTGGCTGTCATAGCCACAAGGCGTGAGTCGCCTTGAATGCCTCCCTTTCCCTCGTGGCCCTCATCCAGTCCACCCACAGACCCCGCTGGCTCTCCTTCCAGAATGCCTCCTGGATCTGTCCACTTTCTCTACCTTCATCACCTGGCCCTAGCCCCCATTATCTTTTGCCTCCTGACCAACAGGCATCCCTGCTTCCAGATTCCTTCTCACTCATTCTAAGTCTAAGAACTTATTCATTCAGAACCTCCTGGGGTCTTCTCGTTACACTCAGCATGAAACCCAGCTTTGTGCCATGGCCCTCAGGTCCCTATCTGCTCTGACCTCTGCCCACCTCTGCAAACTCCTACTCCTCCTTGCTACTCTTCAGGCTGTGCTGACCTTTCTGGCCCTTTAACAGAGCACACTTGTTCCTGTCTCAGGAACTTTGCCATTGCTTTTCCTTCTGCCTGGAATGGTTTCCCTCAGGGCTTCCCAGGACTGGCTCCTTCTCTTCAGTCAGTTCCACTAAGTGTCAGCTTCACACAGAGGCCTTCCCAGCCCACCTTAGTTAATAACACCCCCTGCCACTCCTTATCATATCATCTTGCTCTGTCATACACAGCACTTGTAATTATCTGAAACTATCTTACTTGTTTACACACACGGGGGTGTAGACTTTCCAGGAGCAGGAACCGTTTGTGAGTTGGTTCTGCTCTGAACAGGGCCTCGCATGGTGCCTGGGACACAGTAGACTCTTGGTAAATATTGAGTGAGTTCATGAACAAGTGTTTATCTAATTTCAACAGTGACCTAGCAAAGTAGGTTTCATTTGCTCAATTTTACAGGAAGTCGAAGTTTAAAGATGTCACATATCTTGTCTAAGGTCATCCAAACTTGTAAGTGGCAGAGATGAAGTTCAAACCCAGTTGTCTTGCTCCAACACTCTTCTCCGAAAGCCTTTCCTAGACAAACCTACTAGGGTGCTGCTCCCAAAAGAGAGAGTTTGAAGATCCCCTAAGAAAGTGTCCCTTAGCTAGTTCATGGTCCCTCCTCGAGTGGGGTTACTGTGTCTGGACCATGAGGTCTTTGCAATTGCCATCATCATCATCCCAGCAGCTGCAGGTGAGGGAGCAAGTGTGACTGTGTGTGTGAGGGGCCGGTAGGTGGGTGGAATGAGTCGTGGCTGCGCTAAAGCTCTGAGTTATCCTCGCAAGGACTTCATCCGCGTGGCCCTGTGATGGCCAGCAGCCAGCCTGCTTGCAGAGTTAATACAGTTAATTGCACGAAGCAACAAGGGCAATGAATGAGAAAAGTCCAGAGGAACTAGAATGGAGCCATGTGGGTAGCTATTTGATAGCAAGAATTGGATGCTGCGTTTCCATGTGGTGACACAGGGGCTGCCAAATTGCCTGTCCATCCACCTCTGACACCTGCGTCTGCTTTTGTCCCCCATGTGGAGAGGAGCCTTTGTGCTGTAAAATCCTCAAATTTCCCGTCCTATCTCACCCTTCCACTTTTCCTCAAGTGCATTCTATTTGTTCTGAGTCTCACCTGACACCTGAGAATAAAGGACAAGCTTTACAACAAATTGACAAAGGATGGCCGGATTCAGGGCAGCCACTTTGCCTCCCTAGGAGGGAACCAGCCCCCACCCACTCAGGGGGCTCTGGGACACCTCACACAGTAGCCCTGGCATGTTTTACCTGGGCCCTTGTAAGCACACGTGAAAGATAATTCCCATTCGAGGGAGAGGTGTTTTGCTCACAGTGTCTTAGTTCTCTCTCCCATTGCCTCTTCTCTTCCTTTGTAATTTGGATCCAGCACAATTAATCAGACTGTAAAAGAGTCCAGGAACATTGAGCAGAATTTGCCATTTTCATGCAAAGCTGAAAGACACGGCTATTTCACGTGTAATGATTAGACGTTTTTATGGCCAGCCTATCACATTACACAGCACAGATTTCCAATAAATAAAGCAAAGCTGGAATGGGGGCTGCCAGTTGTATAACAATCCAACCAACAATCGTGGACAGAATAGTGCTTTTTTGACATCTAATTTACTCAATTACATGAGTGATCATGTCACTCCCTGCTTAAGCTCCTTCAATGTCTTTCCATAAATGAGAATGATGGGTGGACACTTGAGTGCTCCCCTCACCACGGCACTTATCACAGATGCTGTAAGAGAATGTTCCCCTGTGCCTGCCCCACCTGGCTGGGTTTCCCGTGAGGCAGGAACTGCACTATTTTTCTTGGTATCCCTTGTCTAGCACAGGGCCTGGCATCCCAAGAGAGCCCAGCAGAGGTTGCTGAGTGGATGAATGACTGAATGATCAACTTGAGATACATTCAGCCTTCCTTATCCGCATGTTCCTTGTCTGTGGGTTCTGCATCCATGGATTCAACCAACCAGGAGTTGAAAGGCCTCTGGTTGTTGCATCTGTACTGAACATGTACAGATCTTTTTCCTTGTCATCCCAGTTGGCCCTCCATATCGATGGGTCCCACATCCACAGATTCAAGCAACTGTGGAGTGAAATGCCTACCATGGTTGTGTCTGTACTGAAAATGTACAGACTTTTTCCTGTCATTATTCCCTAAACAATACAGTATAAGATCTATTCATATAGCATTTACATTGTGTTAGTATTATAAGTAATCTAGAGATGATTTAAAGTATACAGGAGGATGTGCCTAGGTTATATGTACATACTACATTTTTTATTTTTATTTTATTTAAGGGACTCAAGCATCCTTGGATTTTGGTATCTGCAGGGGTCCTGGAACCAGTCCCCCATGTGGGTACCAAGGGATGACTGTACTGTGACAGGGGAGGGGATGGACTGGGGAACATCTCGTGGCCTTGACATGGCTCACATTTGAGCCAAAATTCACAAAGTGACATCTCCAGATATTTGACACATCACCTGAAATTTTCTACCTCAGCATAGACCCTTAAACTTGAACCATTAAATAAGAATTATGCCAACTTAACTACCTGTGCTATGACAGAGAGTGAGAGAACATGAACAAACTCGTGCAGAAGAGAGAAAAAAGGAGGGGGAGGGAGAGGAAGGAGGAAAGAGAGAGAGATGGGGAGAGGGAGAGAGGGAGAGAGTGCTGTAGGAGAGCATGCTCCAGATGCTCCAGAGTGAGGGGGGCACAGGCGGTGATTTCTCCTCTGTTCTAATTCCCTTGTGCTTCTTGTGGCCCGAACATTTTGCTGCTCTGGGTGTGACAAAGGTTTGTTTAGACTGCCCCTAAAGCCCAATTCACCCCATGCTTACCCCAAGTAAGAGAAAACTTTTCTGGGGTGTATTTGCCACATCTGAGTGACCCAGATGGTTTGGGGATTTGTACTGAATTTATCTGAATTCTAATAGCCAACCACAGTAATCGTCTTTTTATCTACTCTGCATCTCAGTGATAATAGTGTATATATTTGTTGAGGAAATACGGCAGTGGGGACTCATTTCATGCTGTTGTCAATCTACAAGGTTCTGCTCTAAGATGCCTGTCATGCAAGTAGGAGACAGTCCTTCTCCTTAATTCATTTGAACCCCCGCCCCTGCCTGCTGCCCTTCTGGAGAAGCCGGACGGCCTGGTGGTGCCCATTAACTGATGGCCTCGTCATTCATTCTGGGCCAGCAGAGGGGCAGACTGTGTCCTGTGACAGCTCTGAGGAGGGGCAGTGGGGTGGGTTTCAGGGTAGTGGAGGGGCCTCCAGTGTGGGCTGAAGAACAGAATAAACAAGAACAAGGAGGTGGTATCTCGCCCCTCACCCTCAGATGCCAGTTCTGGCAGAGTAGGCCCTTTTAGGAAGTCACTGGCAGTGCTTTGTCACTCAGCCTGGCCTGAGAGATTTCCAGGAGAGACTGAGGAAGGAGAATGAGTCCCCTTCCTCTCCAGAAGAACTATGATAGAAGCAGAAATTCAGCCGCTTCCCTGGCTTGGCTCTGGGGTGGAAACTTAACTCTGCAGGGCTGGCAGGTGATGGCGACAGGGAGGCTGGGCTAGCCTATGGCTGCTGGATGATTGCTCCAGCTCTGCCCCTCACCTCCAGCAGGAGCAAGCATGACCAGACCTTCAGATGTTCTTTAATGTAATCCAGAAATTTGGATTTTTATGTGAAAGCTTCAGCTCTTTAATATTAGCAGAAGATTTTTAAAAGATTACATACTGCTCCTCTCCCTCTTCCAAAAAAAGCCTGTGGACAGCACTCAACTCCTGGACCCTTTGGCTCCTGGAGGCAGCAGACTGGCCTGGGTGATCTGGCGAGACTTGTGTTGAATACCTCGTGGGCATGTGGTGATTCTCCACTCCTCATCTGAAAGCACGGAAATCGCTCCTCACGTGGAGACTCGTTCCTCTTCTTGCTGGAGGATTTTCAGAAGGAGGAACCCAAACCTTTGGGCTTTTTATTATTGTAGTCATCTGATGGCTGTTTCTAGAGCATGGGCTGCCACTCTGCAGTCCCTGTGAGCCCCTTCCTCTGCTCGTCTCTGTAGCAGACTGAGCTTGCACTGCTGCACCCTCCCCCAAGCTCAGGGTCCCTGTCTGAGAGAGACAGTCGGCTTCCCTCCCCTGCCTCATCTTTGTCTCACTTGGGTGGCCAGCAGGCAAAGCTTTTCCATCACTTCTCAGGTGCTGCCCAGAGCTTGGCTCCTGGCATCTTTAGAAACTCGTCTCCCAAGGGATCGGTCTCCCACGGTGCTTGCTGGCATCTGGACAGTCTTCAGTTATGCAAGGCAAGGAAGCGGGGTAGCTCGGCTCAGACTCCACCATTTGGCTCTGCTGGCTCCTGGGGAGAAGCCGAATGTTGTCCCTGATCCCTTTCCATTTGAATCAGCCAGGAACAGCTGACCCGCCTGCCTGGTATCTCACCAGGGCTTTGTGTTGGCGGGCAGAGGGGAGCAGAAGGCCAGCTGGGAGGGGGAGTTTGGGCAGATGGAGGCACTGCTGGCAATGAAGATGGGCGCATGTGGGCAGTATGGAGAGGACTCAGCTCTCGGGTCTCCTGTGGAAGGCAAGAGCATGTACAGAACTCCAGGGAGTGAGGGGCTGATGGCCTTCGTGGACCCCAGGGAGGCCCGGGCAGCATGGCTCTGTAGACCTGCTCTGCCCCAGGCCTCCACCTTGATGCTGCCACAGTCACAGGAAGTTACTCAGCACCTCAGAGCTCTCGTTTCCACATCTGTGAAATGTGGATAATAACCACCTCTCAACGGGGTGATGAGCTAATGTTTGTGAGCCGGCTTGAAACACCATAGATCGCTATACGTAAGTGAGATGATTACTGTGTTTACCTGTTTTTATTCCACTTCTCAAGTACTTATTTTTCTTACACGTCTTTAAAGCAGAAATTTGAAAGACATTCAAAATGGACCAGGTCAGGGAAGTGGTCACAGGGCCTCTTTTGAGCCTTTGTCATCTCCTGCTGGAACTGAGCCTTTTGCTTCCACCCCTAATTAGCCTCCCCTGCACCCAGCCTGGCCTCCTCTGTGCTGCCCTCCACATCTCCTCCAGAGGGAGCTTTCGAGAACTGCACACCTGCTCTTGTCATCGTCCTGCTCACAACCTTCAGTTCGTCATCCACTTTCACACAGGGGATGTATGTTAAGCTCTGTGCTAAGCAGGGAGTGGGAATGAGAACACGGATGGGACACAGTCCTGTCCCCAGGCTTATGGGCTAGGGTTCTTCAGTCCCTGCAGGCTGAGAGTCACCGCTCCCGAGTCCGCTGGAGCTGTCCCCGGCCCTCCTCTTCAGCCCATCCTCTCTGCCCCTCCTCACCAACCTCCAGGCTAAACCCTGGTGCTGATTGGCTAGTGCTGTTCTCAGACCACACCCGGGCTGGTGCTGGGTTCCCAGTCTTTGCCTGCACACCTCTAAGATGCCCTTTATTCTTCCATCCCTCATCATTTGCCACTTTCCTGCCCAGCCTCCATGACTCAGCCTTTGTAGGTTGCAAGTGATGGAAATCCAACTCAAAATAGCTTAGGGGAAAAGGGAGCTTATTAATTCACAAAACTGAAAAATTGCATGCTTTCTGGATTCAGGTGCTCAGGCAGCACCAGGACCTGGTCTCTCTCATCTCGCGGCTCTGCTGTCTTCTCTGTAAGATTCATTCTTGGGTGGACCCCAAAAGTGGTGGCAAAGACAAGTTCAGGCTTAAAATGCAGACAGCATGCCTCTCCATAGTAGTGCCAGCAAAAGGCCTAGGCGGAGCCTCAATAGGCTGGTGTGGGTCATGGGACCAACCAGTTGTTGTGGCTGAGGGTGATGGGCTATGACAGGGCAGACATTTGGGGCAGGATGGGGAGAGTATGAGCCTGGCTGAATCCTGTGGAAGAAAGTGGGAGGGAGTATTTATCAGAGCAGAATCAGGGTGCTCTTACTAAAGAAAGAGGCCATAAATGCTGAGCTGGCAGGCATAGCAGATTCTAGCACTTCCCTGATTGCTCCCACCACCCCCAGGGCACTTACATGCTTCCCGTCTGCCTTGCTGCTCCCATCAGAGTGAAATGAATTTTTGCTCACGCATCTGTTTCTCCCAGTGTGCTGTGAGCTCCCTGAAGCCAGGATGTGTCTCCCATTCACCTCTGACTCCTTACCACCTGATGCCAGGCCTGCCCCCATGGGGGCTTGGTATCTGTGAGCCCACTGAATGAAGGCCCAAACTCAGGTCCATGCACAAATGGAGCCACACTGAGAAGAGTCAGATGGATCATGGTTCTGGATAATGATAACGCCAGGCACACTGGTCCAGATCCTGTGGGTCCAGATCCTGTGAATCCCGTGATCTGGTAAGATCCACCATTTGGGGCCACTTCTTTGTGAGCTGAGAATGTCATGTCATGTCAGAACAGGATACCTGGAGAACCTCAGCTTCGGATGAGAATGCTTTTCAGCAAGGGCAGCAATGAATGGCACAACATCGTAGGAGCTGGTCCTTTCCCTGTGGGGGAGAAATCAACCCCATAGCCAGCATGACAGCCCTAAGGAGCAGGCCCATCCCCAGAGCTGTGTTCCTTCCTTTCTGAGCACCTCTCCTTATTCTCTGACCCTCAGGCCTCCACACTTAGCTAGCCCCCTCGATGGTTGGCCGAGTGCACCCATGATGCAAACCTTCCCAAAGGCACTAACTCCAGAAACAAGGTCACATCAGTTGGGAGATAGACCACAGGAAAATTGTTGCTAATAACAAAGAACTCAAGTTTGTGACTAATTTATTTACTTCTTTAAATTATAGGGGCTGAAGGCTATTCCCTATAATATCTTCACCCTCACTCACATGTGCTTTCCTGTGTGGGACAGAAGGGATGGCTCCGTTGTAGGGGCTGGAGACTGTGTGTTACCTGCAGCCTCTCGTACCCATGGTGCAGCTGCATTGCCTGGGGGCCCCAGAGAGGCTGTGACGGGCCTGACAGTGTCACCTGAGGCAGGGAGTCAGGCCAGATTCACTGCTCTAGACCTTTCTCCTTCCCTTCAGCAGTAGGAGGCCTCCCGGCCAAGCCTCCAGTGCCGCTTGATCTAGTGGGAGTTAATCACACGTGGTCCCCAGGGGGTGGCTGAGGGAAGGCAGCCCTGCTCTCTGCCTCTGGGTGGAGATTGCC